AAACTGCAGAGATATATGCCTATGGGTATGTATTAGGTGTTCAGTCGAACATGTTCATCTTCAGGAATATATCATGTGATGAACGTAAATAAACCAACAAACGAATGAATGTGCAATTAATATGACGATATATGCAGTTGGTATATGCACTTTTAGATGACGTTGACTCGTATAGTTATCGTTCGATGTTATTTACTAACAAGCATTCTATTTGCAAATGAAATTATTTCAAATTATTATTTGCAAATAAATATTTTAATGGAACTCATTTTCTTGAGGCTTGTGTGAGTTCAGGTGAAAATAATATTATCACAAGAACAGTCGTCACACGCCTAGTAAGCTTTATCACTCTTCGTCCTGATACTTCAAACTTCTCACAAAAATTTGTTAGTTTAGGATGAACAATTCAGTAGTTTTAATATATTCATATTGATTTCAGCTGATTCGGCAGCAATCAACGCTATGCATGAAGCAGTGTGCACAAAACTGTTTACGAAGTGGGATCCAGCAATGTCACCAAAGCTGTCAACAGTCATGGTTTGTTTCGCTTGTCACTTACATATCCACTTGCATCGGTAATATTGTTGATACTGCAATGAGCACGTTTATTTGCAGTGGTCAGTCAACAGGCGTGCAGACTGTATCTGGTTCGTTCAATCCTCCACGAGCGTTCTTACCCCTAGGAGGACCAGGTCCAGCTTTAACATCCTCACTTTCACCATCATCGTCATTAACATACGGGCCAATCAGTAGGGGAAACGGACCGATATATCTGATGCCAGGGAAACCGTACAATCCGAACATGCGAATAAGCGGGAATAGGAATATTCCATCGATTCAACGCTATCCTCAAGACGAAATGCTAGGTGGATCAAACAATATGAGGACTAGATATTTTGCAACCTAACTGTAGGCAGTATATGAGGAATACTTCTAGTTCGCCAAGAACTACGAATTTTATTGAGCGTAAAGCCGTTACTCAAGATTTCTGCACTTACACCAAGATATTGGACATTCACAGTCGAAAATTTATTTGCATTCACAGTAGGAAATTTATTTGCTGCCAATATGAGTAATGTTTTCAGTGGTCGATTTCAAAATATGATACATTGAACGAAATATAAAGTAAAACATTTCAGACACATTTATCGTTCACAGTAAAATCGTTCGAGTGAATTCAAAAAAAAAAACAACGAATTATGAGGGAATATGACCAAAAATCCATCATTTCCACGAATAACTGCTGTAATAATTACATTCCGTAAATAAATAATCACACATTATTTAGCATTATAGCTTTTTAATGAGGAGTTTTCTGATCAAAAATAGCGATGTGCATTTACTTGAGTAGTGCGCATTAGTGACTTTTTTTTCACTGATCATTGCAGTTATCGAAAAATTTTTTGATACGGCCAGACCAAACCGTCAATACTCTATT